GATATATATATATATATATATATATATATATATATATATATATCCCCAAGTATGATCAACCATCTACTGATTCTGAATATACATGTGGCAATCAGAGAAAGAGGACAAATTAAAGGAAAGTGACGATTGTCACTGTGTTGAAACTTGAAACCGATTAAGTGAAGACTGTCACTGTGTGGAAAAATTAAAGGAAATCGCAGTGTGTGTGTCTCTACTGTCTAGAAAAGAAAGCATTAAAGGAAAAATTACATACCTGATACCTGTTAGGCTGTTACCTGTTAGGCTGTTGGAAGCCAATTAAGGGAGAAGGGAGTCGATGCTATGGAGTATGGACTGTGGAGGTCGATTGAAGGGTAGTGAAGAGTGAAGACCGAATTCAAGTTTTCGTGGTCGATTAATTAACGAGTTAGGTCCCAAGAAGAAGCCTCGCAGGTGTGTTCGTCTTCGTCATAGCAGCTAAAGCCTCAAGCCCTCATCAAGTCATGTTCGCCTTTCTGACTTTGTGATCGGGTACTTTGAATGATTTTAATTAGGTTATTTATTGGGCTTTTTAAAATGCAAGTACCAAGCTCACTAAAAATTGTTTTTTCATTGACAAATTAATCAAATGGCCCAAATATAATCAAATTTGAAAGAAAATGAAAAAGCGGCCATAACGCCGCTATCTCGGTCATGCAAATAGTGGTGGATAACGGTTAATAGCGGCGCAAATTGTGGTATCACGAATTGAAAACGCTAACTTGAAAATAGTGGTTGCTGACCCCGTGAAACGCTACAACAACGCTATAGCGTGCAATTGATAGCATATCGAAATATATATAATATGATTTTCCAATAATTATCGCCCTCAACTTTGTAAAATTTCATTTTGTCCCCTTAGCTTTAAACTTTGTAAAATGCATCTTCACCCATTCGGTTTTAAACTTTGTAAAATGTCGTTTTAACCTCTTCGGCTTTAAACTTTGTATGACTTTGTATAAATTCGATGTTGTCAACATGTCATACATTTAGAATTTCGTTCGTTAATCTAAAAAATATATATTTGTTTTTATGTAAATATTGGTATAAATTCGACTTTGTCTACATTTTGACGTAATTTTTTTTCCGTGCTTATTTTTACATATGCTTCCTACGTATCAGTCGATCACATATAATATGTTTTTTATTTGAACTTTCATGCATTAACTTAATAAAATAATCTTACTTGCTTATTTTTATATATGTGACGATATAAATTCAAGTTTCTTTATGTTTTGATGTAAATTTTGTGTATGTTTTCGTAATTATTTTTATGTACGTTTCCTACGTATGAGTTTGATCATATATAATATATTTTCATTCGACAGTATAAAATGGAGTTATTTAATGGTGCCACTCTGCTATATTAATCTACCAACAGATACAATAATGTCTAACTTTTATCAATACAATCGTCAAAATTCAACTTAAACTCATTACCGCCGCTGCAACGTACGGATGGTAAAAACCTAGTTAAAGGCTAAATGTGTACACTGAAAAATATATTATGCTATTAAATCATTTTTTCGGCTTTAACATGAAATAACCGGTTATAATGACCGAATAAAAAAAACAAATTAAATGGTATAAAAAAAACTTAATGGCTAAATATACACAAATCAAAAAAATATATTTTTTAAGTCATTGTTATTTTTTAAAAGAAACTAATGCAACCGACAAGTTCCAATTGGAATGCACTGGAACGAATTTTGGTTTGGGTTTCTATTTTTAAATTTATATGCTTAAGTTGATAAAATTAGGGTTCAAAGTTAAAACGGCTCTTTCATTCCTCACTTTCCGGCAGCCTCGTCACCCTCTTCCCAGTTCACACCCCTTTCCCTTTCTAGGGTTCACGCAGACACGCACAGAGCCACTGGCTATTCTGCAACCGCCTCTTGTCCCACAGTCGCCACTTGCCGATAACTTCTCTGTTCAACTTAAGGCCTCTCGTCGCACACTCGCCACAGTTTGATTTGAAGAGATTCTATAATCAATAATTAAAGATCACGGTAACAATCTTAAACGATTTGTTTTTCTTTTATTTTGAACGTTTTTGAGATTAAGATGAAGATGTAAATTCTTTTCCCTATTGGTTTAAGTGTCAATAATATGATGGCAAAAATGTATTAGCTCATCCATAGCTCCCATGGTTACAGAACCCTAGTTCCTCATTTCTTGTCGGAACTCGATTGTGCCCTTTACACACGGGTGACCATTCGGTTGATGTTGTTACCTTATGTTTGATAATCTTTCGTTCCATCTTTTGATATGTGATTCATTCATGTTTCATAGCTGCATTCATATTTACATATCCTTTGGAAATGTAACTAACAGAGTTATCGATTTATGACAAATTACTTGATGCATTGCATATATTTCTTGCTACTCTGAACTGTTAATTAGGTGATTATTTGCTACTTAATTACCCATGGTATCAAATTTGATGCTAAAAACCTGTTTTTTCTTTCATTACCCTTATACAGGAATGGTGGGACTATCTGTTGGAGAGAAGCATTTTATACAGGGAGGAATTGCTCAAGACCTTCGTACAGATGGGCGTAAAAGATTAACTTATCGCCCCATATCTGTTGAAACTGGAGTCATTGCTCAGGTAAAAACCTTTTCAAATTCTTTTTTATTCAATAACATTTCCCAATTTTTAATAAAAACACTTAGTTTATCATTTATGTTCTTAATGAGCTTAATTGATGACAGGCAAATGGTTCAGCAAGAGTAAAGATGGGTAAAACTGAAGTCATAGCTAGTGTGAAGGTATCTTTTGGCCCCTCTTCTTCAGGGATATAAATGTAAATTCATGCATGTTTGTTGATCTTTATGACCTACATGATTGCAGGCTGAATTAGGAAGACCAAATTCTTCAGCCCCTGACAAAGGAAAAGTTTCCATATACATTGATTGCAGTCCCACAGCAGCACCACAATACGAGGTTCAAAATAGTTTACTTTTGGTCCTCCAACTTTCTTTGAATACACACAATTTACCCTTATAAAAATTCCTACCTTTTTAGGGAAGAGGAGGTGAAGAATTGTCAATGGAACTCTCTGCAGCCTTGCGACAATGTCTTTTGGGTGGTAAAACTGGAGCAGGTATGTAATGTAATTGAAAACAAAAGAAGCATGTCAAATGACCGTTTTACCCTTTCATCTTACAAAGAATGTTTTTTTTACAGGAGCTGGAATTAATCTTTCATCTTTGTCAATTGTGGAAGGGAAAGTGTGTTGGGATTTATACATTGATGGTCTTGTGATAAATATAGATGGAAATATACTCGATGCCTTAGGTGCTGCTATCAAGGTAAATATTATTTATTTCTAACATCGTATACTTTCTTTTTTCTTTTTAATACCAAAAAAATCTTACTTTATTCTTATTTATTCGATGAAAGGCTGCTTTAAGCAACACAGGTATTCCAAAAGTCAATGTTGCTTCAACTGCTCCTTCTGATGAACAACCAGAAGTTGATGTGAGTGATGAAGAGTTTCTACAATTTGACACAACTGCAGTTCCTGTCATAGTTACTTTAACTAAGGTATGCAGTAATCAAAGACGGAATGGAATTAAGCATTACAGTGTAATGTGAAAGTTATGGCTGTTTTCCACATTGGAGCATTCCTTAATGTAATGGAATGATATATTTTTTTTCTTTGTTTATCAAGCTAATTTCATTTAGTATTGATCATTTTTTTCAAACATGATAATGGAATGTAATGATCCATTCCATTCCTTTGTGATTCCATTCCATAGTTTGGGGTGTTTATGAATTTAATTAAACTTTTGATGTATTGTAGGTTGGGAGGCATTATATAGTGGATGCAACTTCAGAGGAGGAATCAGAAATGAGTTCAGCAGTTTCGGTTTCGGTCAACAGACAAGGACTGATTTGTGGGTTGACCAAAAGAGGTGGGGCCGGTTTGGATCCGAGTGTTGTACTTGATATGATATCGGTTGGTAAACATGTGAGTGAGCAGTTGATGAACAAATTGGATTCTGAAATTGCTGCAGCTGAAGCAACCATGGAAGAGGAGTGACTCATCACTCATGACTCATCATGATCATGTTTTTAATGGGTGTAAAGAGATTAGAGAGAGAGAGAGAGAGAGAGAGAGAGAGAGAGAGAGAGAGAGAGAGAGAGAGAGAGGTATTATTGTGTTGATTATTTTAAAAGTTTTGGTTAGAAGAACGTTTTATGAGAGGTTAAAAATGACATTTATGATAGTGAGTTAGATCATTATTTGTTTGATGGAAGCTACTATTGTTGGATAGTTTTTGACTTTTTGTACTTTGAGTATTCGGTTTTCTTGTAGTGTTGGATTATCTACTTTACCAATCTTTTTGATTTGGCATTGAATATAATGAGTATGAGAGTTTGGGAAGGAGAGCAATCCAGTGCAAAACCTAAGGATGACATTTGGGACAATCTGAAAATACGGTTTGAATTTATGATTTTTGGTAAAGGATAGGGACCAAATTTGTAACTTACTCTATAAGTTACTTGATATCCTTTAAAAAGTTTAAGCTTTTATTCGACATATCTAATTATCTATTACAAAATTCAATGAACATTATAAAGTTCAAAACGTTATTCGATTTACATCAAAAAGATCAAAATGTTATTTTATATATATCATAAAGCTCAAGGCTTTGTTCGATATACATAAAAGTTCAAAGCTTCATTAGATATACATGTTAATAGTTTCATTTGATCATGTCGTAAAGTTAAATTTTCTTTATTAAATATACATCAAAAGTCCAAAGCTTCATTTAACATCACAAAGTCACAACTCTATTTGATATGCATAACAATAACAAGGTTCAAAACTTTATTCGATATACATCATAAAGTTCAAAGCTTTGTTTGATATGCATTACAAAGTTCCAAGTTTTATTTCATATACATTAGAATGTTCAAAACTTTATTTGATATACATCACAAAATCACAACTTTATTTGATATATATCACAAAGTTCAAAATTTTATTCGATATACATCATAAAGTTCAAGGCGGACTTTGATCCACATACATTACAAAGTTAAAAGGTTTATTCCACATACATTAAAAAGTCAGCTTCATTCCATATACATCATAAAGGCCATAACTCTATTTTATATATACATCATAAAGTTCAAGGCTTTGTTAAAAAAGTTCAAAGCTTCATTAGATATACATAAAAAAGTAAAGTTCAAATTTTTTATTCAGTATAATACATTACAAAATTAGAGCTTCATTCTGTATACATCACAAAGTCAGTTTTATTTGATATACATCGCAATGTTCAAAACATTATTTGATATACATCAAAAAGTTCAAAACTTTATTCAATATACACCACGAAATTAAAGTTTATTCGATCACATTATGAAGTTCAAAGTTTTATTCAACATACATCACAATAAAGTTTGAAGTTTTATTTGGTTTTCAATATACATAACAAAGCTCCAAACTTTATTCGATATCACAAAATTCATAGTTTTATTTGATATACATCACAAAGCTTACTCAATAGTCAATATACATAAAAAAGTTCATAGTTTCATTTGATATACATCACAATGTTCAAAGCTTTATTCGTTAGACATCATAAATTTCAAAACTTTACTCGATATACATCACAAAGATCAAAACATTATTTGATATACGCCACAAAGTTCAAACTTTTATTTGTATGCATCGTTAGATTCACAGATAATGATTTTGACTTTCTCATAATGTTCATGTCCAAAACGCCGACCATCCACATCTTTCAATAGATACATAACATGATAGCTACTCTATCTTTCCAAACTTTCGAAAACCCTTTACACATCTCACTCAAAACAACCGAATCAGGCCCACAAGGCCTCTCTATCATCTCTTTTAAAAACATTAAACACCCCATCTAAATCATCATTCTTCAGTAAAGATAACATTAACATCTTCACTGTAACGCCCGCAGATTCGGGCTAGTCAATTTAGAGACGATAAGCGTCAAAAATGACTTTTTGATAGAGGATTATTTAGAATAAATAATCTTAACTAAGTTGTAGTATATGTCACAAGGTTTCCGTACATATAAAGAACATCGAAATCCGAGTTATAACGAAGAGTTATGACCTGTCGAAGTTTCGCGACAAAACCGGCACGACACCGGGAATCGTAAAAAGTGAGTTTATGATAGAGTACTTTTTAGCCTTAGGGTTCTAAAAGAAACTTGTAGAGTACGTCTCCACCTTCGCGTGGATATAAAGAACGTCAAAAACGGAGCTTGTATACAAAAGTTATGGCATTCCGAAGATGCAGCTGTTGAGAACATGACACGTGGCTGAAACCCTAGCCGCCTTAAGTCACGACGTGAACATGAAGTTCACGACATGAAAGGTGCCAGGGACACTAAGCGGGGCTAGAAAACACGTGTTAAAGCTACGGGATGACTCATGGAAGTTCACGACGTGAACCTATCATGATTCACGACCTGAATGGGCCCAGAACACCCTATAAATAGCAAGTTCAGCCCTTGTTCTTCTTACACCGATTCCTTTCTCTCTCTCTCTCGTTTGCTGAAGGCGTTTCTGCATTCCGGGCCCGACGATCACAAACCGCCGACTGTTTCTAGTTAGATTCTATCAACTCGCGCTACTAAATTGAGTGCATATTATTTCATCTTACACATAGATATGAAGTATTTTATATAAATTACGTGCTATGTGTGCATATTATCTGTAAACTTGCTATCTATGATGGATGAACCATTTTATACATGTTTTAATTGATTTAAACTGTATATGTAATTTATATCTACAAATATGTTGGGTAAAACATGGGTAGATGAATTAGATGATGTGTGATGAAATAAAAATTGATGAGAGGTCTCGGTGTTTAAGATGATCTAGTCATCTAGCAGGGTATAGACATCGTTATTAGTTATTGATCCCGGAGTATGGATCATACATACCAGATCCGGGAGTATGGATCAGGTAGAGAGGTTAGTTTTAGATCTGGGA